TGACTCTGTATGACTTTGATGGGATAATTCAGTTTTGGGCGCCAGTAAACACCGGCGACAGACGTTTCCTTACAACATCCGATCAACCTTTTGCCATTAACTATCTTAACACTGGTCTCGACAAATTTAGGTTATCTTCTCTCAAATATCGTTATAGTATTGACGTGAATAAGCTTGATGTAGAAGACGACCCAATGATCATTACTGGTGCACCAGCCAGCGCGTTTCTGAACCAACTCCCAGAGTTAGTTCTTGATCTGAAAGCTCACCATGGGTGCCCACTGGTTCGCTCGGCTATGGAGTGCGACTTGTTGGCTTATATTGTGCTTCCAATTTGTGATCCTTCTCAGAACTGTTGTGTTGGTGTTGTTGAGTGTTTTATGAAGCGCTGTGATTGTTCTCTTGTGATTTTCAATCAGTTGAATCAGGCACTAGAGGTTTGTAATTCTACGACTATCACAATCTCAAAGCAATTGCTTCAGTGTTCAATCCCACTACTTTCACTCGTCTAACTTTATAAGAATTTCATTTTCTGTTACAATTTACAGATTGCGTGATAAAAGTAAATGATATGCTAATTTTTATCGATCTAATTTGCTACTTGTATTTGCAGAAAGTGGGTCTGAGGACGTTTGATGTACGAGAATGTCTGCCACACAAAGTAAGGTTTCTATGTGAATGTGATTTTTTGTCGTTGAAAATTATGGTCAGAGTACTTTTGACTTTTGAGTGTATTAGAATCTTGCATAAAGTAGTTTTATCAATAGAAAGGTGTTCTCAATTAACTTTATACATGGAAACAGAGTATACAAGGTCTCAAGCATGCAAAGAAAGACATTGAAGAAGCGCTGAAGATTGTTTATGAATCTCATAACTTGGGTCTTGCTCAAGTTTGGGTCCCATATGAAGATGAGAAACATGTGGGTTTTTCTTCTCAAACCAACCGAACTTTTGCACTCAAATTAACCGGTTTAAATAATGGATGTTTTGATTGGTCTTACAACAATTATCATAATGCGTGTAATATGCTTGCTTTAAGAATAGGGGATGGACTTGCTGGAAAGACCCTTCAAAACCATGAACCACACTTCTGTAGAGATATCTCTAAATTAAGTAATACAGACTTACTAGTGTCATTCACCGCAAATACCAAATGTAGTTGCTTTGGGATATGCTTGAGGAGCATTGACACTAGTGATTTTTACTACGTCTTTGAATTCTTGTGGCCTAGAAATCGAAACTATGTTATCTTGATCGAGTCGCTAGTGTTAACATTAAAGATGTGTTTACCAAATTTCAAGCTTGCTTCTGGTCCACAACTTGGTGATGAATTAAGAATTATAGATGTGGAGAATTCTACACGAAGTAAATTGGGACACTTCAAAATTTTCAAAGGAAACAAATTATCACGAATACCATTGGAATGCATGCCAAATGAAGCCAAATTCAAGACAACTGTGATTGAATTACCTCGAAAGGAAATCGAGCAACAATTTGGAACAACCATGAAAAAAGCTGCAAAATCGCTTAAAGGTAATGATAATCTTCTTTCCAAACTACAACTTGGTTTACAGAATTCATGAGCCATTTGGACACAATATAAATTAACAAATTTGTTCTCGTCGTTGTGTTGCAGTTTCTTTGTCTACGTTAAAACGCAAGTGCAAGGTTCTTGGAATTTACGAGTGGCCAGGACCAAAGTTTGTGAAGAGAAAGGTAAATGATTCTAGAAAGGATCAAAGGGAGATGAATGAAGAAGATACCGGAGCAATTGTAGACCCCTTGGCTATCAAGGGAGATGTTAATTTTGATGAAAGTAGTTTGAGTATTAAAGTAGAGTATGCTGATGATATAATTAAATTACATCTTCCGCTCATACTAGTAACATTTATAGCTCTTGACAAGGAAATTGGCAACAAGTTGAAACTGAATCGTGGGAGTTTTAAGCTCAAGTATCTTGATGAAGATGGAGATTGGATTTTATTGGGTTCTGAGCAAGACATGAAGTATTGTATAAGAAGTTCAAAAAAATTAGATAGCATTGCAATTCGACTACGTGTGCTACCATGTGTACATAATAAATATGTAGCTTAAATGGCTGTAATCAAGTTTTGGTTATCTTTCCTAGAAGTAATAAATTGATAGGGCTTTTTTTAAGGGTGTAGATTTTTTTCAAAAAGTGGCTAGCGACATGCTTAGAGCATACGGTGTGGGGCGTTTGATTATTGTTATTGCTGACGTAGAGGGGGATAACGGTGTCGCAACGAGCTGAACCCCCCCCCCCCCCCTAAATCTCGTTTAGCCTCGTCGTAGCGTTTCTCGTTGCCGTCTTCACCGAATGAAACAAGCAAAAAAATAGACCGTTATGACTTCAAACCGTTTGAATACGGTTAATTTAATATATATTAAAAAAAATAATTAAAAAAAAAAAAAAAACTTTAAAATTAATTATTCTTTTCCTATATAAATAAATATTATATCTAAACAATTTTGTACACATAACTTCTCTCTTTCTCTCTATATAATCTCAATTATCTTCAAAAAAATTATGGATCCTTTCGAATCGTCCGATGATTCCGATGACGATATATTCTTCAAGATGATGTATCAGTATTATACTAACGAGCTGCTACAACCGACTCAGCCCCGCTACTAACAAGACGTGTGATGTTAAACAAAAATCACGAGGAAAGACATGAGCATCTATATTGTGATTACTTTGCGGATAGTTGTGTATATGGGCAGGGGAAGTGCACCACAAATGTCTAGGCTACCAAAGTCAAAGTAAAAGGATTAAGTGGAATCTCATCTGTTGAATTCACAGAAGTAGTTCTAGAGCATTTTGAGCCTACAAAATTTCCCACAAGCCACAAGATCACATGCTATATGGCGTAAGTAGCTTAAATTTCTTTGGTGAGGCTTTAAAGGAAACATATCATGCCAACAAATCCATCAAGTTGCTAACAGGCCCAACGCCCAAATCGCATAGAAACTTGACGGATTTGTTGGGCTTTTAATATATATATATATATATACTAGTGAATTTCTCATGGTCGTGTTGAGCACGGCCCACGACGGATAATTTCGTAAATTTAAAAAGTGATGTGCGATGTATTGGAAGTATAATGTCTTATTAAGACAAATAATGAAAATACAATGTCATTATTGGGTAGATGTTATAAAGTGCAGTGCTTTACGATAAAAAAAAATAATAATAAAATAATAAAAAAAAATTAAAGTTAGAACTACAACTCTTGCAATTTACATAAATGAAAATAGAATGGTATAATACATAACCTAAATGAAAGTATGTTGTTATTTTCTACAATTAGCCCTTATATATTGCATAAAGCAAGTAAGTAGTACACCAAGGAAAGAAAGTGACATATAAACAAGGAAGGATTGAAGGCGTACACATCTACAAGAAACTAAAACACATGAAACCATACCTGAAAATCCAAAAAATATTAAATGTCGCAAGGGTAGATAGGCTAAACTATTTTGATCTCAATATGGGTCCTTCCCTCACATCTATATAAGTTGCAAGTATAGTAAATTTTGTTCTCAAAATGTATATACATCAAGGAATGTTTCTTTGTTACCAATCAATTTTTTTGTTTTGTATTTTATCATTTAGGTGTATAGTGTATGACAAAATACCCTCATAATTACATTTTTTTCACAAAATACCATCATGTTTCCGTTTTTTTCACAAAATACCCTTATAATTACGTTATTTTTACAAAATACCATCATATTTCCGTTTTTTCACAAAATACCCTCATAATTACGTTTTTTACAAAATACCATCATATTTCCATTTTTTTCACAAAATACCCTCATAATTATATTTTTTTTTACAAAATTCCAACATATTTCCGGTTTTTTTTTTTCACAAAATACCCTCATAATTTTGTTTATTCACAAAATACCATCATACTTCCGTTTTTTTCACAAAATACCATCATAATTACGTTTTTTCACAAAATATTATCATACTTCTGTTTGTTTTTCATAAATATCTTCATGCTTTCGTTTGAAACACATAATAGCAACCAAATTTCAATTATAATCACAGAAATCATAAACAATCAACAAATTTCACTCTAAAATATTAAAATTGTTAAAAAAAACATCAATAACTTCTAGACTATCCATAAATCGTTTGTGTCTAAAACATGAAAAATGTGAAGTTAACCAAAAAAAAATGTCACGAAGCATCTAGTTTTTCTTTTGCTCACAGAAACAACGCATCTCATCATTATGTCTCTTGCAACAATTCATCCGCCTGATACATGAAAACACATAAAAATTATTAATATGATTATTAGAGTTCTCAATCATGGAAATTAAATTATTATTATAATTACCTTTCTTTTTGAACAACCAGTAGCATAATGACCTAATCCTTGACAATAAGAGCATGTTCATTTTTTGGGGGCTTCTAAAGAAGATTTGATTCTACTTGCAACTTTAGGATGCCCTTTTGTAGTAGTTGGACCAAGAGGATCACATACTGATAACTATGGCATCATATCTATTTTCGAAACTCCCATACAAGAACTTTGAGATGCATTCCCCAAAGACATAAATTTCTTTAGATTTGCTTGATCGTCTAAAAGATTTATCAATATCGTATTAACTTTTTGTATCTCCGAAGGGGATTCCTTTGCTTGTTCAATTAGTTTAGTAAAATTTGAATGGACACAAAATAATCTGTAGGCACTAACTCCATTTTCATTATTTATTTCTCCGAGTCCGATGCTAGCACTACCCAGTTTGTATCTAGCAGCAAGGGTCCATCATGGTAAAATATAGTGACTCAACAGTTCTTGAACATGCTTCTTCTTCATCACATATAAGCTATGCTTGCATAAAATCTCATTTGTCTCATACATAGAACAAGAACATGTGACGATGACTTGATTTAAAGAACGAAAGGTAACAGTACGCCAATATTCTTTATTAACATCCAATTGCCCAACTTTATATGTGTTTTCTTATGTAGTTTTTGTTAGAGTCTCATGAGTCAAATTGGTAATAGCTTCGGTCCATTCCTTTTTGAAAGTATCAAACATCTTTCTTGTATAGCATTGACCTGCTTTTGCTTCGATTGGATGCACTGAAGAAAGAACTAGCCTTGAGTTCATAGTCTTGAAGTCTTCATCTTCTTCGTCATCCCTTCGTGATTTAACTGCTTTGTCGTATTGTACAACGAATTCATTCAACATGGTCTTTGAGTTAACAAATCCATCAAAAAATGAATTGATACTCTCACTTCGTCCGGTTGTGGTCATACCAGCAAAGAAAATATCCTTCAAGAAGGGTTTAGCCCAATGTATACGTTGGTTATACATGTCACTAATCCAACAATTTTTTTCCATTACATACTTAATACGCATAATCTCCCATCTTGCTTCAAATTGTTCAATGGTGTCACTATTTATCCATTGTTTGTGCGTTTCTTGAAAATCACCGTAACGGGAAACATACGATCGAAGGTACTCGGTTTCATGTTTACTGATATACCATGAGCAAAAGCGATGCCGAGTCTTTGGAAACACTTTTTTTATTGCATTGCCTATAGCTTTGTCTTGATCAGTAATAATTGCCTTTGGATACTTGTCAAACATACATTTGAGGAAATGTTCAAATAACCATTCAAATGTCTCTTCCTTTTCATTTTCAAGCAATGCTCCACCAAAAAGTATGGACTGCCCATGATGATTAACCCCAGTAAAGGGAGCAAAAGGCATCTTGAATATGTAAGCCATATAAGTGACATCAAAAACAACATCTCTGAATTTTGTATAGGCATCTCTTGATCTACCATTAGCCCAAAAGATATTTCTAGGATACCCATCATCAGACAAATCCACGATAAAATATTGGTCACTGTCAACTGATGTTTTATCTTGAAAATGTTTTATAAGTCCATATAACTCCTTTCCTCTATGTTGTTTTCGATGCTCAGATATGACATCAGCACATTGCTTTGAAGTGACATCAGCTACATTAGAGGTTTTCATCATATTAACAACATTTTTAATCTGAGACGGTTTCAACCCCGCTTGACCAAATTGCACCATAAGAGATTTACCTTCTATTGAACGGTGAAAATTGCTATGAGAGCGATGCTTCATAACCTTCGTAGGTGTCATGGTCAAGTCGTGATTGTGTGTGTCATTAAACGAGTCCACCAACCATTTCCCATCCTCCTGTCTTGGTATTCGAAGCTTTGCTTGACATCCGGTTCTAACATATCTACAACGTTTTTTCTCATTTTCACTTGAAGCATTTTTCTCCATCCATTTGAAACCTTCTTTGTTGCATACATATATCTTCCGAAAAGGCTCATTTGTTTTAGGATTTTTAATTATGTCATCTCTACGTATACCAAAGCCATGCAAAAAATGAATAATCATTATAAAATGTATAGGCATCATCGGGTGTATCAAAAACCTTTCCCAATATCCTTTCATCATTAACATCATCTTCTTCAAATTCAATGTTCACACCGATACTGTTTATTTTTTCATGTTCATATGTTGCTTCCACGTAATCATTTGTGTCAATATGTTTGGTTATATATGGTTTTATAGCTTGATTACTTGCTTCGGCTTCACTCATTATGGCGTGCAATAGACAAACATGCACATTTCCAAATAAAAGATTAACACAAAATTGTTTTATATTGAATATAATGGAAACATTATACATAAAAAAAAAAAAAAAAACACAATCACAGCCAATGACAATGTCTAAAAACAACAATGTCACTTTTAAAAGCCATGAACAAATAAAAATTCATAAGGTAATAAAGAACACGGGGGATTTGTAGTTTTTGTAGCATCATACTTTCGTTTAAATCACATAGTGGCAGCCAAATTTCAATTTTAAATATAAATAAGAACCGAGAATAAAGAGTTGCACAAGTTAAATATATTGGGAATGTAATACATTTTCATCATATTTGATGCAGGTGTAAAAGAGCTCATCCAAAGTTCAAACAATTTTTTTTAAAAAAAATCATTCATTAAAATAAATTACAACCGATTCCTATTGATAATAAAAAGTCCAAACTTTGAAACTTCACAGTTAGTTCATATTGTTGATATTTACTAATCAGATACACATAACATAGGCCATAAAACACAAGATGAATGACTTACTTGGAAGTGCTCTGGAAAGAAAAAACAGGAACGCTGTGATTTGTAGTTTTAGAAGGTCTGATGAAACTCAATTCGTTATAAGTTGTTATTTCTAAGAACTCCCTGAATATAATTCCAATTTGAATGAAACTCTTATTGGTGAATTTCGAAATAGTAGATTTTTTTTGGATTGAAATCGATTTCTCTAAAATCGTTTTTTTTTTCTTTGACTGTTAAGGCGTTATTTTTTTTCTGTAAATTCAATTTCTGTGATTATTTTTGGTGATAAGCTGCCGATCATCAAGCGATCAAGGAGGACATGCTTTGATGTCGTTTTTTTTTTCTTTGAATGTTAAATCGTTATTTTTTTTCTTTGAATTCGATTACCCTGATTCTTTTTTGGGTGATAAGCAGTCGATCATCAAGCAAGATAAAGGAGGACGTGATTTGATGTTATCATAGTCGAGTTTAATTAGGAACATAGCAAATTATTTATGGAAATTGTCATTTTTTTCTTTCAAAAATCAATCCAATAATCGAAACTACATAGTTTTGTACATAGGGTAGCTAAACTATATACCCTTAAAGATATATTCACTTTTCTCATATATATATATATATATATATATATATATATATATATATATATATATATATATATATATATATATATATATATATATATATATATATAGAGAGAGAGAGAGAGAGAGAGAGAGAGAGAGAAAAGTAGGATCATCTAATAATTCAAAAAATGGTAGGAATCCCAAGGACAAATCCCGGACACTTACTTATATTAGGGTTATTTATGTAAGTATTAAAAAGGTTGGGGCTAGTAAATAAAAAGTGAAGGTTAGGACGGTAATTTGATTACAAATTGAATTTTGTAACATCCCAAAAATAAAGCAAAATTTTTATTTTTAAAACCATTCCAAAATCCATAAGTTTTACAAAACAATTCCTAAAAGTCACAATCATGAATCAAAGTATCTCAAAATCATAAAAACACATGAAATCTGAAGAAAAGACAATGTTCTATTGAAACAAGGGACCAATTTGCTACCATAAGATGTCTTTCAAACTCAAGAATACAGTAATGAAATATCAATGGCTAGTAGACAAGACACCAACCATATATGGAAGAAACATAGATGACTACGTAGACGACATGGTCTTAGGATGAAATCAGACCAAAGTACATGTATTGTAGTTACACACAAGAGACATTTAAACAATTCTTACAATTAGAATCAAGGTTAACCTCAAGAGATGCATATTCAAATAACAAGGCAAAAATAGCTAGTCTAAGACCAACACAAAAAAGAAGCGAAAAACCTCTATGAAAAAAACATTGACTCAATGCTAGTCACAAACCAGACACATGGTTCATTTGAAGTGAAGGGAGCATACAACGTAAGTTCATGTGTTCCTATATTTCCTCACTTCTTAAAGTGTGTTGGTTGTATTACTAACACGTGTAAGTCCTGAGAAATTAGTGGTATGATGTTCTAAGAAAACAAGGAAGAAGGAGAAGTAGAATGCTCTCATATTGTCCAAAAGAGAGTGGTATGTACGACTCTTGAAAGGTATTAAGATTCTTGAATACACTACATCTATGGGACAGGATGCAAGATCAATCAAGATGACTTCAATGTGATCACCAATTGTGGAATTAAGATGAATATTATCACATTAGATATAGTAAAATGTCTGTTTGTTAGCAAAATCAACCATAGCACTAGCATACAACATAGATTATATTACACCTATTGGTGAGTTGCATGTAAATGAACAGTGTGGAATATTAATTTTAACAGGCAAATACAAAGACATGGTTTTGAGAAAACTAGTTACATATTTATATAAAACTTATGTCAAATCAAACATTATATTGCTTCAAACATAGAAAGCACAATATTACCAAAATGACTATGCATATATCAGTTGTTTACTAAAAGATAGAACGACAACATAATACTTCTACTAAAATGACTCATTGATAAAGACATCAGTAACCTTGCACCATTAACATGTATCGGAACTGCTGCTCTTGGTCAGTGACCATTGGTGACGTCAGGCACTGCACATGATGATACGTGCTTTAAAAAAAATTAAGATTTAGAGATAAAATATCTAAATGTTTTTGAGATTAAAGCACTTCACTAGGTTATAAATTTGAAATAATAATTAATGGTATATATATATATATATATATATATATATATATATATATATATATATATATATATATATATATAAATATACATACCTTTATAAATAATCAGCACCTTTGTTTGAGTAAAATAAAAACATGGAAGTACACGTGGATCATTTCCAGTCTGCCCATTTAACAGATTCTGTAGATACCTTCCTGTTTGGACCAGAACTTGTTGGAGAATCATGCCATATCATCTCCATCTACAATAAACAAACAACATTTCCATAATTACTCCAAATTTGAGAAAAACTTTTTATTCATGTCTTTTTTTTCTTCTTGTTTGTATCTGAGGGGTATTTTTGGGAAATCGGTCTGAGAACAAAGTAACATACCTCGCCAATGATGACTGTATCACCTTCCTTCACACCACGTTTAATTAAAGTCTTGTTAACACGACATGCTTCTAGAACATGCTGGAACCTTCTATCGGAATCCATGTATCTATTATACAACAAGTAAAATGTTTTAATAAGAATAAAACTAAAATTACGATTATGTAATAGAAAGAAATGAAGGTAGCCCTTCTAAAACAACAGATTATAAGAACTTTTGGGATTGAAGATCTTATTTTAATATTTTATTTAGGAGAGAGAAAAAACTTACTTCCAATTTGTCATTTGAACAAATCGCTGCAATCCTGCACCTTCAATACGCCATGTATCTGAAGCACTATCATGAGAAATTTCAAATTCATCAATGGGAGCAGTTCGCTGCTTCTTCACCATTTCAGCCACGTGGCTGAATTCTACAGGATCTCTCCAAACTGCATTGGACACCACTTGCTAATTACTTACAATAATAATAAATATAACATTATTTTTGAGCATGTTCATTTTCATTTTGTGTTTGAGTGGGCAGATTAAGTCCATATAAAACAGAAAAAACAGGTCGCTAATAAACTCAGCTTACTTTCATCTTTTGAATCTTCAATTCCTTGTCTTACAAGCTCATAAGCAGCATTAATCAATTCCCGAGTCCCTTCTCTGTTGATTGCACTAATGCAAAAAGGTTCAATTCCAATTGAAAGAAGCTTCTCTTTGAATGATTCCCACTTTTCAAAAGCTTCCGGAAGATCCATTTTGTTGAATGCAACTATAAAAGGTTTTTCAGCAAGTTCTGGACTGAACATTTCTATCTCAAGTCTGACTGCATCAAATTCATAGTCTGGTTGTGGAGATGAGCCATCAACAATGTGTACCTAAGCCTCCATTTCCATCACACAACTATTAATTCACAGTAAGGGTATTTTGGTCTTTTAGCAAAAAAGTTGGATCAATGCGAAAAGAAATATTAAATATACCAGAGCTGAACATCTTTCGGTATGTCTAAGAAACTCATGGCCTAAACCAAAGCCTCTGTGGGCCCCTTCTAGTAAACCTGGAAGATCTGCTACAACAATGGAAGCATCATAATCAAATGAAACCACACCCAAATTAGGAAGAAGAGTTGTAAAGGGGTAATTTGCGATGTTTGGTTGTGCAGCACTAATAACACTTAAAAAGGTGCTTTTTCCTGCATTTGGAGCACCCACTATTCCTATATCAGCAACCAATTTTAGCTCCAATTCCAACCACCTGTAAGAAAAACAGCATTACAGATGATTAAAAGTTGTGGGTTATGGAAAATGAGTGAACGATTTACAAAAGTTAAGGAGAACTTACATTTCAGGACCTTCTTCACCATTTTCTGCAATTCTAGGCACTTTATTGGCTCCTGATTTGAAGGAAGCATTTCCTCTTCCACCTCTTCCACCAGGCAACAATAAAGCCCTATCCCCTGGATGTAACAGCTCTAACAAGAAATCTCCGGGAGCTCCATCTTTTCCGGCGGCTCTGACCACCGTTCCAGGTGGTACCTTCACAACAACATCTTCTCCTTTTGCTCCATTCATCTTGCTCCCCTGTCCGTGACTCCCTCTTTCAGCCCTAAAATGAATGCTATTCCTAAAGGGTAACAGAGAATTCATAGAGCTAACGACTTCCATGTAGACGTTGCCTCCTCTTCCGCCGTCACCACCGGATGGCCCACCGAAAGGCACGAATTTCTCACGGCGGAACGCCACCACGCCGTTACCTCCGTCTCCTGACCTTACGTAGATTTTCGCCCTGTCGAAGCATCTCATCACTGCAGGCACTCCTTTCTCCTTCTCTCTCTCATCTTCTTCTTCTTCGCCTTCACCTTCTCCTTCGTCTTCTTCCCCTTTGTATTCAAATCCTGATTCATCTTCCCCTTTGTTTTCAAATATTAATTCGTCTTCCTCAAACTCGTCTCCGTCAATTTCATCATCGGAACTTACCTCATATAACTCAAATTTCCCATAATCAAACCCTGAATCCTCTTTATCGCTAACTATTTCTGCATTATCCTCTGTCTTATCTTTACTACCGGAGGAAGGCTTCTTTTGTTTTTGCATCGATGCTGCCAAATCGGATAGTTTGATCTCTGCAAAGGAATCGGAGAAGTCATCGTCTCTGGGAGGTAGGCGAGTGTAAGTGGTGGCTTGGCCGCCTGAGACGGAGAAAATAGACTGTGGACGAGGGGTAGTAATGCTGTTGAACTTTTTGGGATTAGGTTTTTTGGGGGCAAGCTGTTTACGAGGTTTGTTGGAGCGAGCTTGGGCATGAGCAGAAAGGAAGCATAAGGATAAGGAAGAGACAGACGCCATTTTCTGGGTCTCAATTGATGTTAAAACTTGAGCATAAAAGCACTAGCATTCAGACTTCAGCACAACCGGAACAAGTCAGACACTACACTTCATTTCGAAAGCGGATCATATACATAACCCGAACCGGTATTTTGACCCAAATCCGAACCGGTACTTGGCTCGAACCGAATACTTACCAAGTTCGAAGAAAATTGTTTGTATTTAAAAAAAAAAAAAAAAAACGGTTTTTACAAAACGATTGGTTCAGTCGGTTTTTTTAAAATCATTTTTCGGTTATATGTATTTAATAAAGATGATATACGTATTTTAAATAAAATGAAATATGTATGTTAAATAAGATGAAATACATATTTGAGAACTAACGATCCAAAAGAACTTATATATATTTTTTATGTAATGAGTAGTATTAATTATTATTATTTCAAAGTCATAAAAGAATATATTTTACGAAAACATATTTTTTATACGAAAATGTATATTTTAAAGACATAAAAAATATATTTTACATAAAATAAATACATAAAAATTGTTTGCAAAAATATATTTTTTTATAATACGACTAAAATACATTTTGTTTTATTAAAAAAAATTAGGTAAAATTTTTTTTTATTTATTTATTATTTAAATATTAACGGTTTCATTATTATATATATTAGCTTTAGGAACAAATAACCAGCTGAGCATTCAGCTCAACTGGTTAAGGCTTTGGCGATAAAGGAAGTTGGAGGTTGTGAGTTTGAACCTTCTCTCTTTCTTTCAGCAAATTAATTTTTTTTCAAAGAATTTTCAAAAATGGTCTCTGTGGTTTATTAAATGTCACGAATTCAGTCCCTTTATATTTGAAAAGACGAAATGGTCTCTGTGGTTTATTAAATGTCACGAATTCAGTCCCTTTATATTTGAAAAGACGAAAATGCCCTTACAGATTCAGTCTCTAACGGCGTTTTACTAACGGTGTTAGTAAAAATGGCCAACTTTGCAAATTTTACAAACCACAATGACCATTTGCATCAAAAAAAATTAGTAGTAACTGCCTTTGTGATTTTTGGCAAACCACAAGGACCATTTTTGTAATTTTGTCATAAAGAAATGATATATATCTTATAAATGAACAATTATAAAGAAATGACATATATGTAAATTATACTAAGTTCGACTAGGCTCGCGAGCCTTACGAGCTGAGTATGTTTGTACTCGAGCTCGGCTCGATAAGGCACTCGAGTAGCTCGAGCTCGAGCTCGGCTCGATTAAGCTCGAGTCGATTTTGAGTATTTTCGAGTCGGTTTCGAGTTTCTCGCGAGTTGGCTTGTCTCACTTACACCCCTAGGCTTGGTACCCCATTATTCGGCAGTACCCAGTTAGTTTACTAAGTTTTTCCCGAAGATACCGAACCCAAACCGGAAAATTAATACTATACAAAATCGTCAAAAATAAATAAATAAATCGGCCCCAACATATTCTTGTTCCGAATTGGTACCCCATAAACCGTAAAAGCCTTAAAAAAATTCGTTCTTCGATAAAAATTGGTGCCCCTTCATACCTTCATGGATGAAACACGAGTAAGTTTATGTGATAATTTAGATTTTTCAAGTAAGTTTGATATTTTTCTAATGATTTTGTATTGTTTTGTTTAGGCTATCTGAATGGTGGGTAAAGAGACACATGATTTTCGACGTGATTGTCCAAAGGACACCTGAACACCGCCTCATGGACCGGTGATTTGGTTGTAGAGTGGCTGTAAATGGTTAAAAAATAACAGTCTAAAGGACACCTGAACACCGCCTCATGGACGCCTGAACACCTCTCACATTTTCTCTTATTTTTGCATCTTTACTGTCTAGCTACTAGTAAACACCATTTACGACCTAATGGATTGGTTGTGAAATGGTTAAAAAATGATATGGCGTCCTCTTCACTTAGAAACCACTTGTGAGGATACCCCTAAGCCTTAGGAATTATACATTTATTGAGGAAACCACCCGTCTTTGTTTATGAGTGATACATTTGTTGATGAAACCACACATGTGTGCATCGATAATGATTCAGATGTCGTTAATAAAAAAAAGTAGACAATGTGAAAGAAAGTAACGAATTAACTTTAAAAAATCACGTAACCTACTGACAAAACAATAATTTAATTAGTAAATTACAATCATATATTAGAAAAACATATGAAAATGGATTATACCTTCAAAAATTAGTTGTTTACTATTTCGCATGGAGGCTGGAGTGCTTAATAAATAATATCAGATAGACTGCAACATCAAATGCAGACAACCAATGAACTATCTTTTTATGAATGACATTCCAAAACAGTTTTGTATCACCAACTAATGTGATGTATCCATGGTGCTACATCAAACCTTAACCAACTTTTATATCAAACAACTGAAAATTACATTGCATTAAAAATAATCGTTCTACTTTCCAACCTATCGTACTTAATTTGTATAAACTTTTTATTTTAGTATAAGAATAATTATCGTAGTTAATAACCATATATTAATTATTTTTTAAGATATATATCTATTAATATTAATTTATATTATATAAAATGCACACGAACATTCACCTAGTTGTCCAATAAATTTTGGAAAAACTTTTATGATATAGATGCACATTCAAACCCTATCAACTAGCTATTTACTTTTAATATATATTGTATGAATGAAATCTAATTAAATTAATGTTTCATGAATTCACACACTACCACATGGCAATCTACCTTCACTCCTCATGGAATATTATCAAGTATAAATTAATAGATATAACCAGTCATCTAGGTTGGTAATTATAAACCAATGTAAATTTCCTTTAAACCCAACAATTATATACCATCGATCCTGAAAATACATTGCTTTTATCACTCTTAAAATACACTTTTCATCTTGCCACATAGCTTTTATGTACTCTAAAAATCCACATGAAAAGGAAAAGAAAAACATAAATAAAAAAAAGGTAGGTGTTCTACCCTACAACTTATTATTATCATCAGTAAAAATAGTGAATTATAACATCCTACTTTCATTTCTATTATGATGTTCTACTTTAAAACCTACCAAATCGTACTTTCATCTATTTGTGTATTATAAAATCATACTTTCAAACAAAAAAGGTAGGTATTCTACCACATTGCAAATCTACTTTCATCTGTTTGTGTACTATATCATCCTACTTTCATTTTCTATTGTTACGTTCTACTTTTCAACCTTTGTTAATAAGATATTGTAATTTGAAAAAATCTACCAAATCATAGCATTATACTTTCACTTTTTTTTGGTCACGACATTTTAGTCTAAAAAATCTACCCAAATATGGCCTTAAAAATTGCTTTGCATTTGGATGAAAATGGAAGTAGAACGTTGTAATCAACAAATCAATGAAAACACATTGATATTCCTTGTATTTAAACGAAGAAAGACAAAATTGCAAGAAATAGCAACATACTTTACTCTTTTTAACAATATAGGAAATGTATTTCAGTTTTTACCCATAATAACAGTATATATTTTATTTACACATAGCAACAATATGTAACCCATTACCACAACACACTTGCATTTCCTTAATTATAATAGCAATGTATTTTCATAATTTCATTTATTTACAAAGAATAGCATAATGCTTATATTTGTAGTGAAATGTAAGTAAGTTGAATATAGGTATAAAATACTCTACTCTTTTTACCAGTATAAACAACATACATTAACTTTTACCTATAACACCAACAACTTCCATTTCTTTGCAAATAATAGCAACACACTTTCATTTTTTTTTTTTACTGATAATAACAATATGTAACAAATAAACCACAATGCTAATATAAGAGTGTTGCTATTATAGGTATAAACTAGAGTACATTGCTAATCCCTGCAAACCCAACATGAAAAACAATCCAAACCAATAAAGAGAAAGTAAATTCCACTGAAATGGGTCCACAAGGCTATTATATATATATATATATATATATATATATATATATATATATATATATATATATATATATATATATATATATATATATATATATATATATATATATATATAAGAAGCCTGGGTTTAATGTTTTTTTTTTTCCAAAAAGAAATCTATGTTTTAATGTATGTACATATGAAAAGAAAATGAAAGACTAAAATGACATGTGATTTGTACCATTATCATATCGGATTCTTTATAAAAGAGAAGAAGATGAAGAAGGTTTTGGTGAAGATTTGCAAATTGGACACCAATTCTTTAATGCCAGCCACTGGTTTATACATGAATTATGGTAACCATGTTTGCATCCCAGTCTTCCTATTTCATCTCCTCTCACAAACTCCTCCTGTAACACATTTTATGTAACCCTTATTTCAACTTTTTTACATCAAAATTAATAAATAATAATAATAATAATAATAATCACCTGACAAATACTGCATTTGTTGTCCTCTGCACCCAAACTATGCCTCATTTTTTCATCAGACTCGTACACACTTTTTCTAATGCATTTTGATAATTCCTCTTCAGATAATGCTGTGCTCACTGTACCCATTTTCTCTTCAAGTGCTAGTAGTTCCTGTAACAATTAAAAAAAAAGTTTCCCATAAAACCATAAAAGAAACAGATTTTATAAAAATAGAAATGACAGATTAAAAAATAAAATAAACCTCGTATGACATGTTATCAATATCCAGTCTCATGTCCCTATGTTGATCATACAAGTTAAGCCCACCAAGGAATAAATTCGCTTCAAGTGAGAGTAATTGCTGTAGATAAAGAAGTTCAGTCAAGAACGATGAACTATTTACAAGTTTACCCTTCAATAGAGATTAAAGACTAATTTATTACCTCGTATGTTAACTCCTCGTTTTGTTCAATCCTATCAAGTGCCAGTAGTACCTACAAATCACCACACAAGATTATTATTAACACATACACGCCACAAGGGTATTAACGTCTTTTGGACAGAATGAGAGAAATTACATCTGCAATCCCATCAATGTTATAGCTTCGTGTTCCATTTTGATTCACAAATCGGACAACAGGATGATCTGAAGAAGTAACAGAAGTTTCTTCTGAAGATGAAAGAGTTTCAGCATGTGATGAATCAGAAACCACATCAGCAGAGTTGACTGATGATAAGTCAATGGAGTCTTTTGAAGGGTCCATCTTCAATGACCTCTTTGTCCTCACGGATGAAACACTGTTTGCTCTGCAAGCAGTCCAGTTTCTTGAGTTTTTAGGGTCAGAAATGGAAATTCCAGAAGTAGAGACAACAGGGCGTCCTTCGTTTGCTGATACCCCAATGACTCTCTTCCCTTTACCAGATGAACTGCTTTCTCCTTGAAAGAATCTTCTCCTCCTGCCATTGTTTGACTCGTTTTGACTATTTTCCATCACAGAGGAACCACTTTGAGTGTAAACCTTCTTAATCCTTGAGCTTGATGATGCAACTTCAGTGTTTCTAGATTTCAACTTACGTTCTTGAATTCCAGACTCTTTTGGAAGACTACTTGAGTCTTTAGGGATCCTTTCTATCTTCTTTTTCTCGGATTCTGGTTGAGATTTTTTCACATTGGTGACTGAAGAACAAGTCTTTGATGAACTTCCTGTAACTTCCTTGAGAGAAGATGAACGGATGGAAGGCTTTGAAGTTGAAGCTTTTGGCTTCTCTAGGCATTTGTTTTTAGCAACTTTAGTGTGGTTAAGTCTGCCACAGCAACCAATTCGGTTGCAGAATTGAGGACTTCCATTTTGAGAGCCAGCAGCATCTTTCAAAGCAGTGACTGATCTCTTTTTTGGGGCAGCAATCCCACCAACAGCCTGTTTACTATAATCTACATCCATATAACTGCCCCTGTAAGCCTCCTATCTGCCACAAAACTCATCATCAAGCCATAGAAAACCCTAAAATCCTAAATTGAAGCAAGAAATATACGAATTACTAATCAGAAAGCTCAACAATTCTAGGATACACCCTAAAATCCTAAACAGAAACAAGTAATTCACAATACCTCCACGGAGAAATATAAACAGAACGAAACGATTGATTAACTGCGTGCGTAGATAGATGCACATATAAAGTTTATTTGCATGCTTTGAGGTAAATAATCAAAGAAGAAAGTATATCATACGATTCTTATCTTTTTCAATTAAAGAATCATAAAAAAAAAAAAAAAAACTCGAAGAACGAGGTACGTAAAGTTATTCCGTCTTTCGATATCGATACGATCGTAATCACGATCATCGATGAATTCACCTACCGTATTTCATCAACCTTAAACATCAAACGTCAAAAGCAAATCAACGAACCTAATATTAAGTCGCGTCGCTTGTTAAGAAGATGTATTTTGATCAAGTAAAGAGATGGAAGAAGATGTATTTTGATCAAAATCAGATAAACCAGAATCGCTGATGATACAAAATTAGAATCAATAGGGTTTGTTATAGCTTTACCTTATTGGTCGTGTGTATGAGATAAAGCAAACAGGAGGAGAGAGAATCCGAAGGTGATGTGGGACTAATCCATCCACTATATAATAATGACGATTAGAATATGGAAAGATGACAAAATTGAAAGAAGCTAAAATTCCGGCCTGCCGAGAGAAATTGTCGCATTTTAACCTCAGAATCAGAATCCGTTCGTTCAATGTCAACGGCCGTCTCAGGTGGATCGTGGCATCATGATCCGGAGCTTCTCATGGACATGGACTCGGTGGGGTCGCTTGGCTTTGGCCTGCAACTAAAACCAGAACTTTAAGGACGATTGGATTGCTTGATGGCTTTTTTTGTGAGGATTTGAATTTGTCAAAATATTTTTAAATTTGTGAAACAATTGGGATTTGAAACGATTTGGAATTGATTGTGGTTTAGGTTGCAAAATCTTTGAAAAAAATAAATAAATTTTATTTTGTAACTCTTGTTTAGTTTTTAATTATAAGAAAATCTCATAGAAACCTAATCTATTAACTTTAGAAAAACAACCTAACCCATTATCGGTTGATGCTTAAAAAGAACTTCTATATTATTTTTTAAGTATATTTTAACCATTTTGTTTTTTTTGCATTTCTTATGTTAATACATCGGCTTGTTACACCAACATGTTGAATCAAGAAACAACGACAGACAATACATATTGAATGATAAGAACACAGCGATCAAATACAAATTATGCTTTGCTATTACTCAATAATGATTATAGCTCAATTTTTATACTGTATTACTTATAAAATAGGAAAATTGATTTATTATGGTAATTAACTTATTCTAATTGTTCATATTTGAATAATTATCATGCATATTTATAAAGTTAGCATTTTTTCTTGAATCTCATTCATTTGAAACCCTTTTTTTTAACTTCCTTTCACCATATTCATTTGAAACTTCCATGATTTTTCAATTTCTTTATAATAATATTATAAATAAATTAAATAATGTTCTATAAACAAGATATGGTGTTTTATTACAATGTCATCATCCTACATCGATGGTGAGAATAAACAAGAAAATTTTTTCTCTTCTATAAATAGGAAAGATTGTGAAATGTTTCAAAGGGACCAAACCATAAGAACTTCCTCATGTCTACCTTTGTAAGATTTTGAATGTATTATTTGGTGAGATTGTCTATATTGACAAGTATCCAGTTAACTTTTAGAATTTCAAAAATAGTTTTAAACCGAATTTTTACAAGTTTAAACCATGTTTCAGTTAGAAAAAAAATCATATAGTTTGATATATTGAGTTGAACCGGAGCTAGATCATTTTGGACCGATAAAGGAATCATTTTCCTTTCACAACAAACATTTGAAACTTCCATGATTTTTCAAATTATTTATAATAATATTATAAATAAGTTACATAGTTTTATATAAATATAAAAAAAAAAACATCTATCTAAACCTAAAATTATAACTGTTTGAAAAATCACTTTGATTCAAAAGCACGAAATATATACAAACCGGGTTTCACTAGAAAAAAAAAATAAGTAGTTTGATATATTTAGTTGAATCAGTCTGAGTTTGATCTATTTGGACCATAAAAGAAGCATTTTTCTTTCACTGCATACATTTGAAACTCCCATGATTTTCCAAATTGTTTGCAATGATATTTTAAAAAAGTTACATAATGTTATATAAATATAAAAAACATCTACCTAATCATAAAATTATAATTGTTTGAAAGTTCGATTTGATCAAAAACACGAATATATACGTAGATTATATTTTATAAATGAATTCTTTTTATAATGAACTTTTAAATCTTGAAAATACATATAAACAAACTTTCTATATTAAGTACCTAACTGAATTTATGATTTTAGAATTGAACAAAAAGTTATTCAATAAAAACTTATTTTTTTGGATAGCAACTTACGAGATTATAGAAAATGGAACTATTAAACAATAAAGAAAGGGTAAACAAGAGAAATGGAATGAATTACTAAATAAGTTGAATAATGTTTTATAAACTACAAAGCGTGTTTTATTACAATGTCTTCATCCCACATCAATGGTGAGAGTAAACAAGAGAACGTTTCCTCTTCTATAAATAGGAAAGGTTGTGAAATGTTTCAAATAGACCAAACCATGATAACTTGCTTATGCCTACCTTTTTAGGATGTTGAGGGTATTCTTTGGTGAGATTGTCTTTATTGGCAACTGTCCATTTAAGTTTTAGAATCTCGAAAATGGTTTTGAACAAGATTTTTTTAGGTTCAAAAAGAGTTTCAGTTGAAAAACCGTTATGTAGTTTGGTATATTGAGTTGAATCGGTCTGAGTTTGATCAATTTGGACTGATAAAGGAAGCATTTTCCTTTCAGCACATACATTTGAAACTCTAATGATTTTTCAAATTGTTTCTAATAATATTATAAATAAGTTACCTAAACATAAAATTATAATTGTTTGAAAATTAAATTTGATTCAAAAATACAAAATATATACAAACCGGGTTTCAATAGAAAAAACATGATGTAGTTTGATATATTAAGCTGAATCGGTCCGAGTTTGATTAATTTGGACCGATAAATGAAACATTTTTCTTTCACCACATATATTTGAAACTCTCATGATTATTCAAATTGTTTATAATAATATTATAAGTTACATAATGTTAGATAAATAATTAAATATATAAAAAAAATCTACCTAAACATTAAATTATAATTGTTTGAAAAATCACTTTGATTCAAAAGTACGAAATATATACTTGATTATATTTTATAAATTAATTCATTTTATAATGACATTTTGAATCATGAAAATACATATAAACAAAATTTTTATATTAAGTAACTAACTGAATTTATGATTTTAGGATTTAACAAAAAGTTATTCAAAAAAACTTAGTTTTTTATAGCAACTTACGAGATTACTGAAAAATGGAACTATTGAACAATAAGTTTTCTGGATAACGTTTTATTTTTATTATTTAATATTTTATTCAAAAAAATGAAATTATTGACAAATAAAGAAATGAATTTAATTAAAATATCTTCATCCCACATTAATCGTGAGAGTAAACAAGAGAATGTATTCTCCTCTATAAATACTTATATGAAAGGTTGTGAATTATTTCAAAGGGACTAAGCCATGAGATCTTCCTTGCATCTAACTTTGTAGGACGTTGAGTGTATTCTTTGGTGAGATTGTCTTTGTCGAGAAGTGACCAATTAAATTTCATAATTTCAAAAATGATTTTGGACCGTATTTTTTAGATTTGGATCGAGTTTAATAAGGATCCGAGTGTCTTATGGCTGTGTTAGGCAAACTCGCTTCCATTGGAGACCGAGTTTAAGTAACATGTCAAGTATTTGGTTGTGTTAGCCAAGTTTTACAACCATGTAAGTAATACAATTTAAAGTTTTAACCTTATAAAAGATGTACTATTATCATATGTTCTACATAATTATGATAATATTTATGATACAAAACATTTTTTTTACTATTTAAGATAAAAAGTTGTCTCTAGTACACAGAATCATAAAATTTAAGATAGATAAAACGATGTCTCTATTATCGTATTTTCTATATAATGATAATATTTAATATAAACGTTTTAATTTAATATGAAATTATTATTTAATAGATAACAATAACGATTTATTTATTTTAATTTTTTTCTATTTTAATCATATAACTTTGTATATGCAAAACAACTTCAAGTTTCAACTTTGTGAAATTATTATTTAATTGTTAATAACAATTAAATATTATTTAATTGTTAATAACAATGATTTAGTTATTTTATGAAATTATTATTTAATTGTTAATAACTATTTTAATCTTTTTTTCTCTATTATCGTATTTTTTTTTCTATTTTATGAAATTATTATTTAATTGCTAATAACAATGATTTAGTTATTTTTAATATAAAATATTTTTTATATCCCACGCAACGTGCGGGCATTCGACTAGTTTCTTTTATACATGCATGCAACAAAGTTATTGGAAGTGTTGGCATATGACTATTATGATCGGTTGTAGCA